CCCATAATTTTATTAAAGATTTCAGACTTCTTCGTGTGGGGAGTTAAAGCCCACAGTAAATATTATTTCTGTCAGCTGAGATCTAGGGCATGTGGTACATTATCATTCCTATTTCCATCCTTCAGGCACAGCATCTCAGCCAGATGTAGGCACAGGTTCAGATTCATTCTACTCGACTAGAGGCACAAATATGGGATGACTTCAAAGCATAGTCTTGGCTGCATCTGAATCAACAAGGCAGGACAGACACTCCCAAGGGACAATTCAATTCAGCCAAAACCTGATTATCCTTCTACATTTATCTGCCTCTCACCATCTGCAAGAGAAAGAGCCTGAAGTAATTGCTTCCATAACTTAGGGGTCTTGATTCAGAGCCTGTTGATCAGTGGAACAAGTCTGAGTTATAAATTATTGAAACACTGACACTTCCTGGTAATGGTTACAAATTTAACAGTGGAATTTCCTTCTTTTCTGTTACACCTTTCAGTTCTGTTTCGAATCGTCTCTCTGGACAAAGACTTCTACCCACTGGATGAGAAGGTAGAGCCATAATTCCTTGTTGCTAACCAGATGGCTTATTTCGCAATTAACACCATTACTGTCATCATCCAGAACCACTGAAGACAGCCTTTAAAGTATATGGTCCTTTTTTACTCACACCATCCTTGACCCATTCCATACTCCACTTGTCTCCATTGACTGAGAAACCTATCTCCTTTTTCAAAGGGATATAGGTGTTTAAAACCAGATTTGCAAAGGAATGTACATGGCTAAGCATGCAGGCAGGGATCTCATTACTGAAAAAATGGGTGGGACAGTTTCCGTTGAAAGTGAGAGATGTGCAGATGTTTCTGGCAGTGGGTGCAACCACGTGCTTAGAGGGAGAGAGCAGGATGACAAGGGCTTGGTTTTAAGGAACTGGTCACAGGTGTAAATCCACCTTTTAGCTTATTTGGCAATCAGTTCCTCATGCAGACAAGTTCTTTGAAAACTCTTACTTCATCACATTTTCATACTGCGGTAAGACAGAAAGTTGGGGCTCTAAAATATTTATAGAAGAGATTCCCTTAACCATCATGAACTAAGGAAACAGAGCAAGCACAGAAAAGGGAGAACCCAAAGGAATTCTTAGAAGGTTGTTTTTCTGCCCTTCAGTTCAAATCTGGAAATTACTTCTATCCATATATGACCCATATTTCTAACTCTGATTTTCCTTTGTTCTTTCCCCACAGTTTCCATTTGTCTATGTTCAGGTGAGTGGATAACTACATGCATGTTGTTATGTTGTTTCAGCAGAATGTGTAGGCACAGAGATAGCAGTCTCCAGCAGTGGTGTTATCAGGCTGAGGTGCAAGGGAAGAACATGGGTGCACAACTTTTTCCTTTGTGTAAAGGAAGGCTGAGTCGTTGGGCATCAAAATAAGTTCTGACAGTGGTTCTTGGATTGTAGAATATGCTGTAGGACCAAAATAGTTAATCATTGTGAGGTATGCTGTGAACAGAATTACGCTTGCCTACAGGTTGTATCAGAATGCCTTATTCCTTTTCCCAAGCAGAACTAAAATTTTCTGCCTGCCAAGAGTGGCTGAAACCACAAGATTGCATTATGTTTAATTAACTAGCAAAACTAAAGAAGCAAAATTATGTAAGTAGACATCCCCTGTCTTCCCAAGCATGCCCCTTTTGTCTGTTGTTTTTCTTTTCAACGGTTGAACTTCAGTGACAGACAAAAGTTACTGGGAAGGATATTTCTGTCAATGATTCAGGTACCCATTTTTTCCTCTGAGAAACCAGAACTTACAATTATTATCTGGGACATCTTCTAGTGGAAAACTGATGGGAAGGATCCCGTGATGGACCCTGAAGCCATGATAGCAGCACAACCAATGCTGAAGTGAATGTGCACAAATCTTATGTTGGTTCGTGTGATTATGGATCCTATGTAATCAGTCCTGGCATTTTGCCTTGCTGCTTGGGGTTGCTGTCTCCGTTCTGTCCCATCTCTCTCTAGAGCTGAGAGTGTTGTCACAGCAGGGGAGTGAAGGATCCCGTGATGGACCCTGAAGCCATGATAGCAGCACAACCAATGCTGAAGTGAATGTGCACAAATCTTATGTTGGTTCGTGTGATTATGGATCCTATGTAATCAGTCCTGGCATTTTGCCTTGCTGCTTGGGGTTGCTGTCTCCGTTCTGTCCCATCTCTCTCTAGAGCTGAGAGTGTTGTCACAGCAGGGGAGTCAGAAGGTGATCAGTCCTGGCATTTTGCCTTGCTGCTTGAGGTTGCTGTCTCCATTCTGTCCCATCTCTCTCTATAGCTGAGAGTGTTGTCACAACAGGGGAGGCAGAAGGTGGGCCAGAAACAG